AAGTAGCAGCTTTAGAACTCTTTTTAGACGACAATATTCTCAAAACAATTACAGCGTGCACTAATATTTATATAGAGAAAACACGTCAAGAATTTACAAGGGACAGAGATGCAAGGAGTACTGATGAGATAGAAATAAGGGCATTTATTGGATTGTTGTTCCTTATAGGCACCATGAGATGTTCTCGTAAAAATATTCATTTACTATGGGATAACTCCAAGGGAAATGGCATTGAATCATGTTATCTTACTATGAGTGAACAAAGGTTCCGTTTCCTTTTGAGATGTTTGAGATTTAACAACATCAATGACCGTAACATGCGTAAAGAACTTGATAAAATGGCAGCAATTAGGGAAGTGTTTGAACTATTCACCAATAATTTTGAGAAATATTTCTCACCGAGTGAATATCTAACTATAGACGAGCAATTGCTTGCGTTTAGAGGTCGTGCAGCTTTCCGCCAGCACATCCCCAATAAGCCAAGTAAATATGGCATTAAAACATTTGCTTTGGTTGATGCTAAAACAGCTTATACTATGAAACTGGAAACGTATGTTGGATTGCAACCTCCAGGTCCATATCAGCAAAGTAACAATGCCAAAGATATTGTGATGAGGATGGTGGAACCAGTTCAGGGTACAAATAGAAACATCACAGGAGATAACTGGTTCACTAGTATTCCATTAGTCAATGAACTGGTGACTGAAAAGAAATTAACATACGTAGGTACTCTCAGAAAAAATAAAAGAGAAATTCCTAAGGAGTTTCTTCCCCAAAAAGACCGGGATAAATTTACTTCAATTTTTGGATTCCAGGAAAACTGTACAATTGTTTCTTACTGTCCACAAAAGAATAAAACAGTTCTAGCAGTTTCTACCATGCATCACGATAGTGCAATCAGTGAAGACACAGGAGAATATCAAAAGCCGGATATTATAACATTTTACAACAGTACCAAGATTGGAGTAGATTTAGTAGACCAAATATGCCAAAAAAATAATGTAGCAAGAAATACGAGACGTTGGCCTATGGTTGTATTTTATAATTTATTAAATGTTTCCGCTGTAAATGCTATGATAATTTATAAGCTCAACAAACAAATCGAGGGAAAATTACGCCGAACTGAATTCTTGCAAAGCTTAGCATGGGATATGTTGACACCACAAATAAAACGAAGAGCTTTCATTTCACAAATTCCACGGGAACTTCGCCGCAGGTCAATGGTATTACTGGGTTTGGAACCCTCAACTTCTGTAGTTGAACAAAGAGATCGAAGAGGAGCAAGAGGGCGCTGTTACTACTGCGGAAGAGCACGAGATAAAACAACTAGAAAACTTTGCGCGCAGTGTCAAAATTTTGCTTGCAATGACCACCTAAAAGAAATTTGTGTGCGATGTTATGAAAACAACGACAGAAGTAGTAATTCACAGTTATCTTATGTTTTAAATATATTTTGTTGTTAAAATCAACCTACATTTTATGTCAAGGCTTATAGAGAATATCTTGTTTCTTATTTAATAAATATTTTTGGAAAAATCTTGTATAGGTTGTTTTTTAGGATGATTGACACTTGTCACCCACGCGACTAATAATGTGCGGATAAGAGACGCGACTAACCTAGGGTTAAAGAATTATCACTTAAAAAAGTTTCAGAATGTGTAAATTCAATCGTTACTTTTACTAATGTGTCACCATTACCATGGACACTAACTGTGGAAGTCATCAAATGTTATGCGAATTTTAAATGGTCAAAAATATTGCTTGGGGCACACGATAATCCTTTATCAGATATTTTAATTATACAATCAGTGGAGCATACAAGGGAAATACCTAGTGAAACTCATAGGAAGGCACTTTTATATCAAGCAAATTGTTGAGCTCCTTTCCGCCAGATCACGTAAAACAGCCACAACGTGGCAACGTCGACGAGGAGAAGAGGAAGGGGTGGCCGCCATATTGCAAGATGACATGATCGAGCCGTCGACACACAGACACGACGCCGTACAAAACAATTATTGTTATTCAAATAATACCAACTAGGATTGTAAAAGTAAAATAAAAGCCAAAAAAAATACAGTCCACTTCTCTACCAACACAAATTTTGAATACACATATTTTTCCAAAGTATTGTGTTTGAGTTGACATTTGTTACATTCCAGAATATAATTTAAGATTATGTCGTGGTTGCTGTAACGCATTTATGGTATATAGTATTAGGTTTCAAGAATCAAAAAAGAGCCATTGTTCTTCGTGACCATTATCATATGGTATTACAGGTTCAAGAAATTCATAGCATATACAGATCTAAATATATATACTGCCAAAATAACTTTTTGGAACTATTGTTTGGTTTGAAAGAAGAATATACTTGTGTAAATGACCTACATAACATCGATCATGATTATAATCTCCCATATTTTACGAGATTCGTAGATTCTGGTAACGATGATTCTGACATTGACTTTTAAGAATGTATGTAAATGTGCTTGCATATACTGCTAAACACTGATTGTATCATATTATATGTAACGAAAATAAAAAATACGTTTTGCAATAAGTCTATGTTTCCTTATCCCTCGCTACAATAAAAACACAAATAAAATTTTCTTACAACCGTTTATTTAATCAAAGCTGCTTTATACATTGATAATTTACTAGCTAAATCACTTAAGAGCTTATTTTTATAGTACAGTAAGCATTCTCGTACACAATAACTTTCTATGTTTTCATTACATACGTCACAAAAGGATCTTATTACAAGTTCATAATTTCTTTCTTGGGTTTGTAGTACTACGTTACAAACAATCTCTAAAAAGTTTTGATAAAATTGTTGGAAGTTCATTTTATATAAAGCACCTACTTTACGTATATATTTGATAATATTTTCATCAATATGGAGTATATTATTTATCACATTATGTGATAGATAAAAGCAAGGCCCTACTTGTGTAAACTTTCAAAATTTTACAATCTAAAGTTGACGTTTTGCATATTTTCACATCTCCATCACATTCAATATGTTTAATGTCCTCTTCTTTGGATGTTGTAATGCACGGTACTTCATTGTCCGATAAATAGCTGATGTCCAGGCATCGTAGGGTGAAAATAAAAAACTCCCATTCGTCAGCACTGAATGTGATTTGTGTTCCTATTTCTGATTTTTTCATCAATTTTACTGATGGTTCGAAACACCTTGCAATACTCAAACCACAATGGTTCCTTAACGGACTACAATCAGCAGTTACATAATCTGTACCCAATGAGTAAGGTGTTTTTTCTTGAAGAATTTGTTGTTTGCACTCCTTGTTTATTTTGTCTATTTCAGCCCAATAGTATGTGTCAATATCCTTGCAGTAATTCTCAATCTCTGATTGATAGTTTTCACTATCTGATTCTTCACCTTCTATGTCTTTACGGCAGAACATCTTTATGAATATTGACAGGATGAGCAAACGATAACACTATATCAGTCTATCTCCCCACCACAATTTTTAAATATTATAAACGATTAGATGTTTATCCAACTGTTGTGAGAACTATCAAAGCCAAGCCATTTCACGGAAACTTCATTATTTTTCTTTCTTAATACCTTCTCAACGAAATAAACATCTGGAATGGATGTTTTTTGTAATTCTTCGTTGTAAAATCCCCCTGACATCGGATTTCCACGTAAATCTTCCAACAAATACGTTGTAGGATTAGTTATTTGAACTTTCGATATTTTAAATACCTCAGTTGTCCAATTCGGTAAATATCCTTTATTAAACAAATGCTTTTCTTTGGAGATTCTAACCAAGTTTCCAACTTTCAATTTTCTATTTCCAGTCATTTTGATAGGACTGTACACATTATTCAAAATATCATTTTCATTAGTTTTATTAACTTCAGATGGTCTTAAACCAATTGTACAATGCTTATGATTTTTATACATATCAACTAAGTCATTCAGAGTAAAATGCTTAAATATTTTTTCTTTCAAAGTTCGTATTAATCGTTCTGCAATGGCTGCCTTTTTGTACTGAAGGTGCTGTAATGGTTTATATTATATTTTTTTTAAATAAAACTAAAATGTTTGTTATAGTATTCTTTTCCATGATCACTTTGTATATTTTTAGGTACTCTATTTCCGTTGTTTTTAGAATATCTTCAAATGCTTTACTTACTTCTTCTCTAGTTTTATTCTTAAGTGGTCTAGCCCATGCAAGTTTAGAGAAACAATCAATAACTATCAGAATATAACGATACCCTCGATTTATTTTTGCATAAGGTTGCATCTCAATGAGATCTGTTTGCCATAAATCATCTAAACCTCGGATTATAGTTCTTGGGGTTTTGAAATTCTTTCGAGTAGGCGCGTGCAGTTCGTTCGCAAGCTGATTTTTTTCTGTAGAATGAGTAGCTTTCATGGTGACTATTACGTCGCTTTAGATCAGAACTAGCCTATGTCCCTTTTTGTCAAAATTGAGATTTTAGACCATATGTTGCAGTAAGGTGTCGCCGATCAAGTGCAGTACTAATCTAAGTCCGAACGTTTATATTTTTCACGTACTCATTAAATTAAAAATAAGCCTATGTCCTGAAGCAAAGTAATTTTTAATCCAGAAGTATCCTTTGTTGGGACATATTACCTATACTTGTGAATTGTGTGGACTTAACCCTGCTGTCCTGTTCGGGTCTATTTGACCCAAAGAAGAAACTTATTTCATTTTTCAAAATGTCCATTCTTCACAATCATAATGGCGTTTGGTGACTTTGTTACTAACTGTGAGTCATTTATTTGGCCAAAGAATAAAAACAATCACTCTTTGTTCAAAAAGGAAAAATTAAATTGTTACGTTTTTACTGCTCGGGTCAATATGACCCGCTTGATCTGCAAGCCAAATTACGCGCGGCGGTAGTGTGAACGAAGCCTAACATTTATATCGGGCGTCGCCGAGTTTACACGAAAATAAACGAATAGTGTGGACACTGTCGGCCTGTGTAGTTTTGCGTTCATTTGATCAGTAGATAAATAGTTTGATATCGAGAATGGCGCGCCCATTGACTGATAGTGAATTGCTTGCGCTGGTGGAAGTTTCCGAGAGTGATGGGAGTGTATCAGAATTAGAAGACCGTACAAGCAACGAGAGTGAAGAAGAAAGTTCTGAAGATGATTTGATCCCAGTGCTCGCGAATAATCCTACAACATCTAATGCAACAGTGGGCTCAAAAGATGGTAAAATACAATGGCCGATGGATTCTCCGTCACAATCCGGTCGTTTTTCATCTGCAAATGTTACAAAAAGTTCTACAGGAGTTACAAGATACGCATGTGCACGAATTTTCGATGTAAAAAGCTCATTTGACATAGTGTTTTCTGACGTTGTTGAAACACAAATTATAAATATGACTAACATAGAAGGATTTCGGGTTTTTGGTTCATGTTGGAAAGATCTAGACAAAATGACTTTTCAAGCTTATATTGGTCTTCTGATATTAGTCGGTGTATATAAATCTTACGGAGAAGCAACTAAAAGTCTTTGGAATGAAGAAACTGGTCGCAGTATATTTCGGGCAACAATGTCTCTTGAGTTATTCACAAAAATATCCCGAGTAATCCGCTTTGACAATAAGACCACCCGACCGGAAAGAAGACGTTCTGACAAACTTGTCGCCATTCGAGATGTCTGGGAAAAGTGGGTTGAAAACATACCTAAATTATTCAATCTCCATGAAAATGTTACTGTTGATGAACAACTTGTTTCGTTTAGAGGACGATGTCCTTTCAAACAGTACATTCCTAGCAAACCAGCAAAGTATGGCGTGAAAATATGGACCTTATGTGATAGCAAAACCTCATATGCATACAAACTGCAAATATATACAGGGAAAGAAGCGGGCTCTGCTTCCGAAAAAAATCAAGGAATGAGGGTAGTATGTGATCTTACCTCTGATTTGAGAGGCCATAATGTTACTTGTGATAACTTTTTTACGTCATACAACTTAGGATAATTTCTTCTAAAGCGAAAAATTACCATGATTGGTACTATACGGAGGAACAAACCAGAACTTCCACAACAAACAAATAAAGAAGTTCACAGTTCCACTTTTAACTTCACGCAAGATACTACAATTGTCAATTATATTCCAAAAAAGAATAAAAATGTTGTTCTTATGAGCACGTTACACCATGATAAAGCTATTAGTGACAGAGCTGATAAAAAGCCTCAAGTAATTTTGGATTATAATGCAACAAAGGGAGCAGTTGATACTCTCGATCAACTTATTGGAACATATACATGCAAAAAAAAAACTAATCGCTGGCCAATGGTAATTTTTTATAATATGATAGATACTTCCGCATATAACGCATTCGTTTTATGGACGTCAATAAATCCGAACTGGAATGAAATAAGCTCACCAAAAGGAGACTATACTTGGAAGAACTAGGAAAAGCATTAGTAACACCGCTTATTACTTCCAGAAAATTTTTGCCAAGAGGTGAAGAGTCACGTCGTCTGGTAAGAAGATCACAAGCTAGTGGATCAGGATCAGAAGCACAGTCTGATATACCATGTACAAGTGTCACGGGTACGGCTACTAAAAGGGCACGCTGTAAATTTTGCCCATCAAGAAATGACAATAAAACTAATATTTTATGTTGTATTTGCCGTAAACATATTTGTAAAATGCATAGCAGTTGTTATTGTCCTAATTGTAAACAAAACTAAAATAACATTTTTGTATTCATTTGCATTTTTTATGAGATTTTTTTTCTTACTGGTTTAAATACAATGTTATTTTGTAAAACATGCATTTATTAATAAATACATTTTGGTTTAAACAATATTATTTTACTTGAAATGTATGATTCACACTCGGGTCATATTGACCCGAACACTACATTAGGTTGTAAGATTCGAACAGGACAGCAGGGTTAAGCTAGTTCTACTTTAAAACAAAATTTTATGTCCAATAAAATGTGGACTTAGGCTTATTCTGATCTATAATTTTAACACGTTCACTGCCGATGACTCAACTGTTGAGTCACAGCAGCTTCCCGGCAGAAGCCGATGACTCAAATGTTGGGTCATGTGCGATAGGTTATTGCATCAGCCAGTAGTGCGTCGGTTACTGAAAGGGTAGCAGCATATTACGCCGGCCTTTTATTGACTTATAAACACGTGTTTTTGCGCGATTGGTTTGAGGTTACGTTTTTGCCTTCAGTGTACAATGGACAGCGAAATTCCACGGCCATCTAGACCGAAGATAAAGTTGGAGGATCCTAAAAGAGGGAAATTGTTTAGTGATTCGGAGTTAGAGGCATTAGCATACTTATCAGAAAGTGACGAGAAACCTTTTGTAGACAGTGGCAGCGAGTATGAGCCTGATTATACGAGTTCAAGCGAACAAGAGGAGATTTGGGAGCATGCTATGATCCCTGAAACCTCCGAAGAAGGTGATCGCTCTGAGGTTCCAATGTGGGCCGATAACCCAGGACTTTCCATTTTCCGGCAACCCTGGACTAAAAGAAAACTTAGCATCTGACGACCCTATTGACTTTTTCAATCTATTTCTTACGAACACATTTCTCGAAAATATCATTGTTGAAACGAACAGATACGCCGAGCAATTGTTTTTGAGCAAAAACACGAGGGAAAAGTCAAGAATAACCGACTGGAAGCCTTTAACAGTTTCAACATTAAAAGTTTTCATAGGGTTATGGCTTCATATGGGCAATATACAAATAAACCGGATGCAGGACTATTGGAAAACTCACATGTTGTATAATCTCGAATGTTTTAGGAACCATATGAGCCGAAATCGTTTTTTGACGATTCTAAGGTGTCTACATTTTTCCAAAAATCCTGAAAGAGGAGAACCAGGATATGATGACCGTTTATCGAAGATTAGATGGCTACAAGACTTTTTCAACCAAAGAATGGATGAGATTTACTACCCCAATAAACAATTGTCTCTAGATGAGTCGATGGTCTTGTGGAGGGGTAGATTGCTTTTCCGGCAATATATTAAAAATAAAAAGCACAAATTTGGTGTGAAACTATATATTTTATCGGAACCTAATGGTCTCGTGTTGAAAGTGAGGATATATCGTCGCTTCAGAGCAGAAGTAGCCTAACTCCAAAACTTGTTATTTTTCGATTTTAATGACTTAGGATAGTTTGAAACACCACGGATTCAACACAGAAGTAACCTATGTCCATCTATATTACTTGGACAGTAACAGTTGAGTTAAAAAATATCCTATCTGAAAATTCAATTTTAATTTCAATGCAGAACCATCCTATCTTAAACCATAAGCCTAATTGGAACTTTAATTGGAGATAGGTTGGTTCTGCAACAATGAGTAATACAGAATATACCTAATTACCACAACTTTTGGAGATAAGATAGTTCAGACCTTAACAAAAGTAGTCGATATCCAGCATAGCGTGGAGTTAGGTTAGTTCTGTTTACGCATATGGTACAAAATTACCGCGTTTGGGAAATAGACTTGTCCTGACTTGCAAAATGCATAGTTAGGATATTTCGTTTTACACATTGGCTTTTTTGATCAGTACAGTGGATGCTTTCATACAAAACGGACGGTTGTCATTGTGTTAACTAGAAAGATGTTTTCCACTACAAGAAGTTCAAGAATCATGAGACTCGCAAGACAAGAAAATAAGTGCGGATATTCAGGTGAGCTATATTTTGTGAAAAATCCATAGGTAGACGATTAGACATTTTTAATTTTTCTTAGACGATATTGGAGTAGCAGTGAAGCAAGATGCTGGATCAGTAATGGACAAAAACAAGCATTATGAATATTATGGATGCCCTAATTTTGAATCAGCAGATATGAGTGAAGGTAAGTCAAAGGCTTTTAATTATTACTTTTACATCACGGAAGTAGATGTTGTATCGAAAAAAAATCAAAAAAGTTGTATTCTCTAAATCGAGTTAAAATGTCTCAAAATGTGTGAAAAACCTAATTAGAACAAAAAATTTGAAACATTTTTTTTCTATTTTGGTTTTATAAGGAAGACTTTTCCATACGCAAAGTAGTCTCGAAAAGAAGCTCTAAATGCGAATGTCACGTTAGAACCTTAACGGCCGTTAACTTCAAAATGAATTATATATGACTTTCAAAATAACATATTCTTAAGTGTTTTGATTGACAGTTTGCTTAGGACGTTAATTTTAAATTTTAAGGTCATATTATGAAATTGATTGAGGTCGTTTTCATAATGTGATTTTAAAGTTAAAGTTACAAAGTGACATTGATGTGTTACTTTAAGGTGCTTTGTCTAAAAGTCTTCGTTCACATGCCAATGATATAATATATTTAGACTTTACACTAAATTCATAATACGAAAATGACAATTCTCTTCACTTTGTTTTTCAGATAAAAACCAGCAAAACAGCAAACTTCATTGTCGAGACTATAGATGCCATTTGATGAAATCTGCTCATCTAAATCCTCCTGATTTCTTAGTTCCGAAAGAAACCAATGTTTTCAATCCCACCATTCATGACGTGCCATCCGACGATATGTGGAAACAAATTTTCACCAATGATACACCCAATAAAAACATGTTGGCTTCGGTATCTGGACTGGATGAAGTAGACAATCAACCATCTTGTTCTTTTTATGGTACCTCTAGCAACCAAATGAACACTTATGATAAAAATAATGTAGAAGAGGATATTTACCTTTCGTCATCTGAAAATGATCCATTTGAGACGGATGAAGACTCAGATTACGAAGAAGATTCTGAAATCGAAGACGATAGTGAACAAAATCTACCAATTAGAAAACAAAAATGCATTAAACGATTTACACAGAAAGAAAAAACGAGGAAAAGAACAAGAAATGTGACTACATGGAAAAGGAATGAAATAAAATTGGCAAGAAATTCAGGCAAAGAATACCTAGACTGGAAAGGAAATACTCACAGTGCAAGAAAGTTGAAAGATCCATGTAAAAATTGCAAAAAGAAATGTGTAGAGAGAATCGGTCATACCGAACGAGAAGAAATCTTCAAAGACTACTGGAGTTTAGCTGATATTAACCGGCAAAGGGACTTTATAGCACGTCATGTTGTAGTAAAGGTTAAAGGTAGAACTAGGTTACAAAAACAATCTTTAAATTCGGATGATTCTGACGAACCACCAATCATGCAAGAGAGAAGCAGACGTACTTTTACAAATTTCTATTACTTGACGGTACGAGAAGAAAGAATTTCCGTTTGTCAAATTTTCTTTCTAAACACACTTTGTATAAGTGCTCAAGTGGTGAAAAACGTGATCAAAAAATTGGGATCTACAGGCGTTATTAGTGCCGACAAAAGGGGAAAAGTTTGCAAAAACTCCCAAATTGATGATACTGTGAAGCAAACAGTAAGGAATCATATCAATTCATTCGATTTTATCGAAAGCCATTACTGTAGAATAAACACCTCCCGTCTTTATCTACCACCAACTCTTAACATATCCAAGATGTATGTTTTATATGAGGAATATTGTAATGATAACAACATCAAAGATACCGCCACAGAAAGTATGTATCGCACTATTTTTGTAGAGGAATTCAATATATCCTTTTTTAAGCCTAAAAAAGATCTTTGCGACATTTGCCATGCATATGAGAACTCATCGGAAGAAGAAAAACTGAAAATTGAAGAAGAATACCGGTTACATAGAGAAAATAGGTTAAAAGCAAGAGAATCTAAAGATAGGGATAAGAAAAAAGCTACTGAAAGTTCGAGTTTCGTAGCAGCAGCATTTGACCTCCAGAAAGCTCTTCCTGTACCTAAATCTGAGGTTGGATTGGCATATTACAAGTTGAAACTTCAAACCTATAACTTTTCAATTTACAACTTAGCTAATAATAACGGAGTGTGTTTCATGTGGTATGAATGCATAGCGAAAAGAGGTTCATGCGAAATTTGAAGTTGCCTCATTCTTTTTGTTAAAGAGCATGTTCAAAAAGGAGTGAAAGAATTTTCATTTTTCTCTGACAATTGCTCAGGGCAAAATAGAAATAAATATTTGTTCAGTTTATATAACTACCTTACACAGAAATACCAAATTACTATTCGCCATCAGTTTATGGAACGAGGACATACACAAACAGAAGGCGACTCAATGCACAGTGTTATTGAAAAAGCTGCTAGACATATCCCTATTTATACCCCTGAACAATGGTACACGTTAGTGCGAACTGCGAAGAGACGTCAACCTTACGAAGTTGTAGAAATTTCTCAGAATGACGTATTCAATTTGAAGCTTTTGCAACAATCGACTACTATTAACTGGGAGAAAGACAAAACAAATGAAAAGATTCATCTTAATAAATTTCGAATTGTTGTTTCTAACGTCCAGTTTCCGAATAAAATATTTTTTAAATACAGCTACGATGAATCGGAACCTTTCAAAATTATTAATCTGGTTGGAAAAGGCCGACGCAAAAAAGATAATGTAGATATAAAAAATACCGAGTTAAAGAAGTGCTATTTAAGAAAGCTTCCGCTATCAAAGAAAAAATTTGATCATTTGCAGTTTTTATGTCAGAAAAAAGCCATATTGCCACAATATCACGAATTCTTTAAGAACCTTCCTTATGCTGCACAAGAAAATATAGATTCGGATTCTGATTTGAATTAATTGTTCGGTTGTTTGCCTGCTTTTTGACAAGTTTGCCTTTCTTTTGTTTTCAAACTACCTAATTTTAGTTTTAAATAACACACCTTAAAAGAATGTTTTTATTTTTATGATTTTATTATCTATACATGTATTATGTATAAGTTAAATCACTTGTTTGTGTCGTTATTTATTTAATGTATTTTTTGTGAAATATTTCCTTTTCATTACCCCCCACTAAAATTAAAATAAATAATTTGACAAAAATGTGTTTTGGTTTTACTTTAAAAAAAAATAGCACTACAGAACTATCCTATGTAGCTTATCGATTATCCCTGCATATCGTATCTTCCCGTAGAACTATCCTAACTCACACGTCCAATAATATAAACTATGCTATATCCAGATTTTTCCAAAATATGCAAAATTCATTCTGTAGGACTAAACTTTAAAAAAAGCATGACCCTGAGTGCCAATAATATAATTTGTACAACGATTGTGTCAAAAACCTGAATGTGGAGTGAAAAAAACTCTCTCCTGTAAAATTCGATTTTTGCAGTTAAGCTACTTCTGCTCTGAAGCGACGAAATATCTGCTGGCATCTGCAATAATTACATATGACCCAAAGTATAATCATTGAGATGTAAAAGTATATTTAGTATGTACTTTTAATACGTCTACTGTATTTGATACCGTCACAATGTAAGTATTATTCCCTTGTACGCAACAGCGCCAGCTGTCAGCCCACGAGATAATCTTTCAATTTTCATAAATCATCAGGGCTAATACTCAGTTTTCGCATAACACAACAGCAGTGCTGTCGGGGTCGGTCGCCATGCCAACCGCGATTTTCATCGCAAACGTGCTGCCCGTCCAATAAGGAGCCAGCTTTAAATTAAGCG